CGCCGTTATCCCGAAAGGCGAAAGGCGAGCTAGTTCCGGGAAGCACGTCGCATGAATATGCAGCAAGGAGGTCGCGGCACCGTCAGGCCACGCCACCGCGGCCACCACGCCAAGGAGGCCGTGGAGGCACGAGGCCCTTCGCGGCCACGTCGCGACGGGGTCCGCTAGAGGTATTCCGAGTGGGGTGCTCCGTGTGGGGCAGTCCGCAAGGGGTAGTCCGCGTGAGGTATTCCCTTTGGAGTAGTCCGTGTGGGGTAGTCCTTGTAAGGTAGTCCCTGTGGGGTAGTCCCTGTGGGATTGTCCCTGTGGGGAAGTCTCTCTGGGGTAGTCCCCCTGGGGTAGACCCTGTGGGGAGGTCCCTGTGGGGTAGTCCCTGTGGGGTAGTCTGCGTGAGGTAGTCCGCGTGGGGTAGTCCGCGACAAGGTCGTCCACGTGAGGTCGTCCACGTGAGCGGCAATCCGTGAGGTAATGCGGGTGGCGCACTGCAGGGTAGTCGGCGCGCAGCCCGGCGCAGCCCGAAGCACCGCGGGGCCATTCCGAGAGGCAGATACGCGGTGCAGCGTCGCCGCAAACGGCGCACCCAGCCCCGCGAAGCATGCCGTATCCAGCGCAGCAAACTTTAGCGCGGCCGCCAAGCCGAGCCAGGCCGCGAGGCTGACGACGGACTGCCGCCACCGCAGCGCCCTCTCGCGACTTCTGCCGGAACTGCACTACATTGCACGGCCTGGCGGGCTGTGCGTGCGTGTGTGTGTGTGTGTGTGTGTGTGGTGCACATGTGTGTGTGAGTGTGTCACTGGCCTCGCCATCGAGGAGGGCACGGGGTCGACGACATCACCCGGCCTCCTGGTGCGCTATTTACAAATTCTCGTAATATGTCGCCGGGAGATGGCAACCCCACCACACCGCGGCGCGGCGGGCCGTCGGCGGGCCGTCGGAAGTGCGCTCTGTCCTCACAAACGGAGTCAATAAGAGCGGAATCCATGCCGTGGCCTCCGCGGAACAAGGAACACTCTGGAGTGCTCTTTACTTTGTCAATAAGGCCCTGTCGGCAGCGCCGCGTGCCGATACGATGTGAATGAGGTTTGCCGAGTGGGGCGTGGCGGGGCGTGGCGGGGCGCGGCGGAGGGAGGCACTTTTAGGGGGAAATTGAACATCATCCCGGGGAGCTTACAGGCGGCCGGCAAGGCGACCTGGCCCGGCCCACGTGGCGTCATCCGAGCGGATAAATAATTAAACGAAAATTTTATTCGATGTCAGAGAGAAAGCGGGTGAAACTGTGGGGCGGCGCGTGCACCGGCGGAGCGCAGTCGGCGCGGTGCGTCCGCTCGTGTGTACCGATAACTTTCCCCCGCGAACATCGAGACAACGAGTGTCGCTCTCGCGCCGAGAGGAAATGTTTGCAAAAAGTTCGACGACGCCGTCGTGCTCGCGCGCGCGTGCGCTCCAGTAGAGCCGCTTTCGTCGCTCTGTCTCTCTCGCACCCATACGGGACGCCCCACGAGTGCGAGAGAGACAGAGCGACGGAAGCGACTCTGCGGCGCCATCGTGCACCGCGTCCGCAATAACGACAAACTGCCTCCTAAGTGGCGGCAACTTCATTCGCTGAGGGGGCGGCGCAGCGATGTCGCGCGACGCGGCGCGATGCACGGGCGCGGAAAATATTGCGAGTCACTGCTGTGTCTGCCACAGCGCCATGTCAGTTTGGAAACGTCGTGTCTTCGGAGCGTAATTTCCTTCCTCGCGGGGAGAGCAGAGTGGCTGGGAAACGTCCTTGGCAGGAGATGGTGTTGATTCGAACAGCCTGGCATTTTTTTTTCTCGTTTTCGTGATGGTGCTTTTTTTCCTCACAGCGCACGCGCACGGCGCCAGTCCCATTGGCCCCGTTGTACCAGTGTACTAGTGTACCAGGCCGCCGGGCCGACAGGCAGTGCAGGGGCTGCTCTTTGTCCTCCCCGCCTGCAGACTGATTCCGAGAGTCGTTTTCGTCGCTCTGCCTCTCTCGCACTCATGGGGCGCCCCGTACAGGTGCGAGAGAGGCAGAGCGTCGAAAACGACTCTCGGAATCAGTCTATCTGGGCGCCGGGCTGCCTGGCTTCGGGCAGGGTCCGTTCTGTTTAGCTTTCCACCGCGTGCCTCTCCGGCTGCACCTGGATGCCTCCGGGCTCTCCCGGGCTCTCCCGCCAACACCGCCCCCGCTATCGGAAATCCCCCGTGTGCTGCAGCATGCAGTCCGCCAGGCCACACGGGGAGGTGAAGAGGGCAGGGGAGAGAGAGAGAGAGAGAGAGAGAGAGAGAGAGAGAGAGAGAGAGCCATGGCGCAGCGTGGCACAGCACGCCAATGTCGGTGTCCCCCTCAAAGGCCATGCTTTGGCGCCGTGGCCGTCTCTCTTTCTCTCTCTCTCTGTCAAATGGACTCGCTCGTTACAGTCCTCGTTCATCATCATCTCGTCGGTCTGCACGGCGCTGGCTGCAGCGCGGCGACTCAGTCGCTATCTCTCCAGAGCCCTCACAATGAATGAATCCATTGGATGTTTTCGATTCCGCGTCCCGAGCAGGCAGCATTGAGCAAGTGTGGACTGTGTGTGTGTGCCTGTGTGTGTGTGTGTGTGTGTGTGTGTGTGTGTGTACGTGTGTGCAGCTCGGTTCATCAGGCAGAGTCATTACTCAGCGCATTGCGTGTCCGTCGGTGCTCAAAGAGGAAAAAAGTGTCTTTTTTCGCGTTGAAAAAGTGGATCGTGATTTCGCTTGCTCATCCGTACGGCCTGCTCGGTCCTTTTCTCGCCCGTCCTCCTGAAGGGCTGATGGTGATTACCTGAGAGCACCCTGCCACGCCCCGCCCCGCCCCGCCACGGAAAGAATCACTGGGAAAGTTCGATCCACTTCTCTTTTATTTTTATTTTTTGTCCTCTCCTTTGTCGCCGCGCTTCATTTGTGACTTGAGCCACGTGCAGTCTGCCTCAGTGCACTCCAATGCACCCTCTCTCTGATTCTCTCTGTCTCTCTCACTCTCTCTCCCGACCGATGCGGGCGTGGTGGCCCAGGCCGTGGCGAGGGGCGGCTGGGAAAGTTGTGCAATTAATTCCAGAAGGGACGGTCGCGCCCCGCCGCCCGCCCCGCTCCGCCCCGCCCTCGGTGCGACCGTCCGGTCCAGGACCGCGAAGTGCCGCCGCTGGACCCCGCCGACGACCACCGCGCGCCTCGACAGTCACATTCCGAGTGAAGCGGTCGCTCCAGCGCCCTCGTCCCTGGGGAGCTGGAGGAGGGCAGGGAGAGGGGAGGGGGGAGGGAGGAGGGAGAGAGAGAGGGAGAGAGAGAGAGAGAGAGAGGAGAGAGAGGGGAGGGAGAGGAGGGGGAGGGGGGAGGGAGGGGGAGAGAGAGAGAGAGAGAGGGAGGGAGAGGGAGGGAGGGAGGGGGGAGGGAGCAGGGAGAGACAGAGGGGGAGACAATGTGCGTGTGTGTGTGGCGTGGGTGAGTGTGAGTGTCCTCGTCATCAGGAACCGCCACCCTAGGCTCAAACGTGTGCAAACAGACGGCGTGGATATTGGACCCTCTTAGCAGCGCAGGCAGTGTGTCAGACGGCGCGTCGTGCCGCGGCACCAGCGGCGGCGGCGGCAGTCCTCCAGGACGACATGACGGCTCCATCGCGCCGAGCTGAAAAACACGGGCAACAAGTGTCCGCGTCCACGCAGGCCCCGAAAGAATGAAGTGTGCTCCACGCCCCGCATGCAAAACCGGCCACGCGCCAAGGACCGCCCCCCTGCGACGCTCTGCGACGCCCTGCGAGCTGCGAGGACCGCGCCGTGTCCGCGGCCGGGTCGCTCAGTCGGGGCGCTCTGTCGGGGCGCGGCGCAGCGAGCCGTGAAGCGACGCGGCGCGGCGTGGAGTGGAGTCGACGCGAACAAGGCGAACATGGCCAGGACCAGCACTGCCGCCGCCGTCAGGATATTTCTGTTCGATTTTTCCGGACCGGTCCACCGATTTCTCATACTCGCTCCGCTGGCGACACCGCCGTCAACACGGAGACAAGTCGGTGTAGGTAACGGGGGGTAGAGAGGGAGGGGACGTGCGAGCGAGGGAGGGGGACAGCACTGCACAGTGGGCCAGAAGATCCGTGGAGGCGGTCAAAATCCCAGATGGGGCTCCCTCCAAAGTGAGCTCCAGAGTCGCTAAATGGGACTCGAACCGAACATGTGACCCCACCATTGGATTGCTCTCCAAACGAGGAATCCATTGGTGGGGTCACACGTTCGGTTTGAGTCCTGTTTAGCGACTCTGGAGCTCAAAACGCGTCAGAGTTTTAGGCCGCCTCCGCCGGGCTTCTGGCCACTGTGCTCTGTGCAGGGTTGGCCGACTCCAGACTGTACTCGGCCAGCGTGGAGACAGCGTCGGTGCGGTGCGGTCAGCCCGGCTGGGTCGGCCTCCGGCTCGGCCAAGACGGAGGCGGAGGCGGAGGGGCTTGAAGGACGACAGGGTGGTTACGCAAAGAGCGCTGTGCAAAATGAGGAAAGTGGTGAGGCGAGCAACAAGAGCAACAAGGATGGGGAGAGGGGGTCGTTGATCGAGTTTGCGCCGGCCGCGCCTCTCGCTACTGCTTTCCGACGAAAGAACGACGACGAGGAGGAGGAGGAGAAGGAGAAAGTGCAGCGAAAATAGCCGAAGCAGTTTATCATATTAGAGATTCGAATGTTTCGCCTTGAATTTAATAAAAGGCGCGCCAAAGTTTGCCCGCGCGGTTTCGTTGCCCTCCTTTTTTTTCCACCGCCGCGGGTAAACATATTTCTGCCGGGAGAACCCCGCTGCGCCGCCGCTGCGTCGAGGCCCCGGCCCGGCCCGCCCCGGCCGGGCGGCGAAAGGGAAACTTTGTGTTTGGCAAGGCCGCGCCGACTCGGGCCGGGCTCCACGTCGGCCACCATGTCGGCGGCGGGGAGGGCGGAGGGAACCGCCACGACAACCACCTGAAACCTGAAACACGGCTGCTTTCGTTCGTCTTGCAGGCGCGGCGCCAAGATGGACCAGCTGCAGATCCTGGACAACCTCCTGACCAACTACGACCGCCGCAGCACGCCGACCAACCACCTCAGTGAGTAGTGGGCCTTCTCGGGGAGGACGGCGGCCGGGGCGCCTGCGAACCCCAAGGTAGGCAACGCGCTGCGCAGGCCAGTGCCGCGGGTCTGCCTACCCTGAAGTTCACAGGCGGCGCACCAGGACGCCTGCGAACCCCAAGGTAGGCAACGCGTCGCGCAGGCCGGTGCCGCGGGTCTGCCTACCCTGTCTTTCGCAGGCGCTCCAGGCCCGGCGCGCCGCTGAAGCGTGCTGAAGCGTGCTGTGCCAGAGCTGCCAAAGGTGGCCGGGAAGTAGCAGACGGTCTGCGCGGGATTGGCTGCCCGCTGTCACGGCCAATCGCTCCGCCACTGCCAAGCCTCGGCCAAGCCACGGCCCCGCAAGTTGGTGGCTTGGATGTTGAGCGGAAGCTAGCGGAAGGTGTAGGGGCTGGTGGCGACGCTCCAACAGTCCCCAGCAGCCCCGCAGTGACCGCAACTCGCAGTAACGAAAGTCTTCTCGCTGATTCCAGACAACGCCACCAAAGTGGTCTGCGAGCTCTACATTCGGAGTTTCGGCTCCATCAGTCCTGCTACCATGGTGAGTTGTTGTGGAGTGGGGGGGGGGCGCTGAGAGTCTAATTAAATTGCGCCTCCACCGGGAAAAAAAACAATCACGTCCTTTCCCGCTTCCTCCAGGACTACGAAGTGGACTTGTACCTCCGGCAGAAGTGGCAGGACGAGCGCTTCAAGCACCCCGAGATCACGGAGGCCCTGGACCTCAACGACCCCAACCTGGTGAAGGCCATCTGGAAGCCCGAGGTGTACTTCCCGAACGCCAAGCACGCCGAGTTCCAGTTCGTGACGGTGCCCAACGTGCTGGTGCGCATCAACCCGGACGGCGAGATCCTCTACATGCTGAGGTGAGCCGGGCCTGATACGAGGCCCCGCCAGGGCCCCGCCAGCCCCGCCCGTCTTGTCAATGCTAACACCCGTTTCCGGCGGCCGCTCGGCGCGCCGATCTCCTCCCGATCGCAAGTTGCGTAAACTTGCGCCGAGGGGAGAAAAGAAATGAAAAGGAGGAGGGCAGGAAAGTTTGGCCTTGGCAACGAGCGATCCCCGAGCCCCGTGCCCGCCGCCCCGAGCTTAAATCCGCCCCGCGAGCGGTCCGTGCTCGGGCCCGCGGCCGGCCAGGATTTGCCTCCCCTTTGAAGGAGTTTTACGATTAAGACGAATTCTTATCTCGGTCGTGTTCGCGGCGTGTTTCAGGCTCAAGCTCACCTTCTCCTGCATGATGGACCTCTCCAAGTTCCCGCTGGACAGCCAGGTCTGCACCATGGAGGTCGCCAGCTGTACGTATCCATCCTCAGAAACGCGCGAGAAGGAAAACTCTTAGACTCGGACGACTTTTGCTGAATTTCCCGCAAATCCTTTTCAGTCTCCAAGACGACCGAGGAGCTCCGGCTGGAGTGGAAGTCTGTGAATCCCGTCCTCATGGGCCGAGGCCTACGCATGCCCCAGTTCGAGATCGTCAAGATCGAGGCCAGCGATTGCCAAGAATCGTTCCAAATAGGTTCGTAAATACGGCCCTCCGCGCCATCAGCGTCACAGTCCATGCCGAGATGCTGACAAATCGGACGATTAAGCGCGGGCTGCACCGGAAAAAAACTGACGAAAAAGAAGATGGAGGCTCATGGCTGTTTTTTCCTGCAGGGAACTACAGCTGCCTGGTGGCCTCGTTCTTCCTGTCGCGGTCCGTGGGCTTCCACCTGGTGCAGAGCTACCTGCCCACCATCCTCATCGTCGTCATCTCCTGGGTGTCCTTCTGGATGGACGTGGACTCGGTGCCGGGCCGCACCACGCTGGGCGTCACCACACTGCTGGCCGTGTCCTCGCAGTCCTCGGGTCAGTCCGGCCGCCACCCTCATTCCGAGAGTCGTTCTCGTCGCTCTGTCTCCCTCGCACTCGTGGCGCGTCCCGTCCAGGTGCGAGAGAGACAAGGCGACGAAAACGACTCTCGGAATGAGGCCGCTGCGGTGGCGGGTCCGGGGTTCCAGGCTTCCAGGCCAGCGACTCGCCAAGAAGACGCACTGCTTCTCCAAGTTCCGGATGTCAGCGCACTGTCATAAACAGCCGCGGCGTCGGCCATTAAATTTTGAAAGTCGTTTCGCGCATTACGCGCGCGTCTGCCCCGTCCCTGGAAACGAGAGAGAGACGCCGCGTTCGAGAGTCTCGCTCCATTTCGAGACTTCGGCGCTTTTCACCGCGGGCGATACAAAACGCGGCGACGCGGCGCTGAAATGCTGAAAGCGCGGTGGGTCTGAATCAGGAAATTGGAACCTTGGAGCCGGCGAGGCGAGCAGGCCGGGCCTGGCCAGGCGAGGCCGGGCCCGCGCGGCCCTACACTGCACAATGCGGCGCGGTAATACTCCGCTAATGAGTCCCCGACGGCCAGACGGCCACTAAAGCCTCTCGATGAATGGCCGCGTCCGTTGGCCGGGCCGTCCGGGCCGCCCGCCTCGGGACTCGTTTGACGGCCGCGTGAAAACGCCCCGCTGATTCCCGAAGCTTTCGCGTCGCTCCGTCTCTCTCGCACTCGCGGGCCGTCCCGTCAAGGTGCGAGAGAGACGGATGGCGCGCCGCCGCCGTCACCGCGCCGCTATCACGCGCCGCGATTTAAGCAATAATTCGGGGCGACGCCAAGGGTGGCCAGCCTCGGCAATCCGCCGCGGGGGGCTGCAGTCTCATTCCGAGAGTCGTTGTCGTCGCTCTGTCTCTCTCGCACCCACCCGAATGCGACAGAGGCAGCGACGAAAACGGCCCTCGGAATCAGTCTTCTGGCGTCGCTGTCGTCGCCGAATTCTCCATTCAGAAGGCGGCCGGCCTTTGCCGCTCGCGCTTAAGCCTGTTTCGCCCGTTTCCAGAGGGCGGCGGGTAATTAAGATTCCCGAATGGCAGTGGCGTGGCGCGGGGTAGCGACGCGGCGCGTGGACGCGGGGTATAGCGACGCGGGGTAGCGCCGCGGCGGAGCAACAGGCTGCAGGGGGCGCGCTGGAGGGAGACAGACTGTCGGGGACCTGTGGAGTGCGAGAGAGCCTCGCTGCCTGAGTACCTCTCACCTTCTGCTTTGTTCTGGCACAGGCATCCAGAGCGGGCTGCCGCAAGTGAGCTACGTGAAGGCCATCGACGTCTGGATGGGCACCTGCACAGGTGAGACTGAGCGCACTCGGAATGACGGCACAGTGGGCCAGAAGACCGGTGGAGGCGGCTAAAATTCTAGAGGTATTTTGAGCCGCGTCACCAAACAGGGCTCGAACCGAGCGGGTGACCCCACGAATGGATTCCTCGTTCGGAGAGCAATCCATTGGTGGGGTCACACGCTCGGTTCGAGTCCTGTTCAGTGGCTCTGGAGCTCAAAACGCGTCTAGAGTTTTGGCCACACCGGTCCTCTGGCTCACTGTGCGGGGTGGTCATCGTCGGCTTTCTTTCTCATTTTGCCTCTCTTGGTTGCAGCGTTCGTCTTCTGCGCCCTGCTCGAGTTCACCTTCGTCAACTACATGTTCCGCAAGCCGGCGCAGAGCGAGCGCCACAAGATGAAGCGCAAGAACCTGGCGGGCGCCGAGAACGGCGAGGCGGGCGGCAACGCCAAGGCGGCGGCGGACGGAGACATCCCGCCGGAAGCGGTGGGTGGCCGCGCCTGTCTCTCTCGCACCCATGGGGCGGCCCGTGGGGCCCGTGGGGGTGCGAGAGAGACAGCGCGAACGCTGAGCCGAGCCGCTCCGCAGGCATGACTGACGGCGCAGGCCGTGTTGCAGGTGGCGCTCACCTCGGCCGGGCTGCAGGCCCACCTGCACCACCACCGCATCGAGACCGAGCAGGAGGCCTTCGCGCGCCGCATCGACGAGATCTGCCGCGTCGGCTTCCCCGCCGTGTTCGCCGTCTTCAACGCCATGTACTGGTCCTACTACCTGCAGGCGTAAGGGCGGGGAGCGAACGGAGTCCTCGACTCGCCCGCCCTGCCTCGCCGGCCCGCGGCTGCCCCGCCCGCGGCCTTGCTGCCGGCCCGCAAGCGCCGACCAGTAGAACAAACTGGCCACGGGCCGATCTGCGGCGCGCGGACAAGAGTAGAGTGTGCGTGTATTTTTTTTCCTGGAGCGTTGCGAAAAGCGGCAACGCCCCTCGAGGGGGAGGCGGGCGGTGGCGCCTGCCGGCCAGACGCCGCCGCGGCAACCCCCTCGCCCTCTAGCGGACAAAAGTGGAACTGCAGGCCTCGCGCGCCAGCGATGGCCACCGCGACGCCTGCCCGCGCCTCAGCCCAGTGTTGCCCTGCCAGAGTTAATTTTCCCTTTAGCGTAGTCTTAGGCGAAACGACGACCAAAGAGATGGATAGGGGTTGTAGGGGGGCCAACTTGAGAGTGGAACCTCTAGCTGCCGGGCCGCTGGCCTCTGGTACAGCTCCCTGTTGTGATAAAACGGTTTTGGCGTTGGCTGTGTCGGCCTTTCCGGTGCGAGACTCTGAGACACTGCGTAATCCGGGACGACTATCAAAGTAGTCCTCGTGACCTCGCCCACCTCGCCACCGGACTCGGCCGCACACATGCCGTCTTGGGTTCAGAGGCCTTGCTCATCGGTGAGAATACAAAGACGTGTGATATTTGTAGAAAGCAGATTTCGAGTTTGTACATTCATTATTTAAAAAAAGTTATCTATATTACTCAAGTGGGTATTTTTGCATAAATGAGTTTGAGGTCCATTGGTGGCCACAAAAACCTTAAGTGTAAAAAAAATATTTAACAAATGTCATTACTTATGGAGGATCTGTATATTTTGATATTCTATGATTTTTTGTCTTGATGTGTAGTACTCATGTTTAATGGTTTCAAAGTAAGTAATGTGTCTCTTTAACTTAAGCTAAGTAGATGGATCAGTTCGATTAGATTTACAAAGGTGCCTTGAAAATCTTGCATCACGGAGCATAGGTTTGTTTCTTTGTTTAATTGTTCAATTGTTTGTTTGAAAATTTTATCTACATTGTACTTCTGAGTCATAAAAACAAAAGGACAAGTTTCATAGTGGAATGGCTAAATGCTAAAACATAAACATTTTAAACACATATTGTTTCTGTCAGTCTTCCTTCGTGATTGGAAAATAGTGCATACTGCCCCAGGGAAGACAAAACAAATACGCGCGAGAACGCGTGTCAGGCAAAACCGGCCAACACGACAAACGTCCAGTTATCGACGTCAAAACGGTGACAAAAAAAATGGGGAGCAAACCCGTGCGCTTCCCAGAAGCCACTTTGTCGTCATTTTGATGACAGCATCCAAAACAATAGATACTGAGGCGATTAGGATAGAGATTTTATTCTTTGGAATTCATTTTACGTTTGGAATTAGGACGCCCGGGGGCAAGCCTGGGGCCTCCCGCAAGCACTATAGTGAATTGCAACATCACTGGAAAGGAGGCTGCGACCCCCTTCCAGTGCAGTAGTTTATACTATCAATTAGAAATCGAGCACGAAAGCTCTTGTACATCTTGTGCATATTTTGAATTCGTTTACTAAGCATAAAACCCCGCATGTTTCACTCTACTACTACTTCTACTCTGCACGCCATTTCCGAAACAATTTAGTGACGACCAATTCACTATTAAAATTTAATGTTTCCTCCCCTGCACCAACCCATACCTAAACAGTTTCCCAGTGCCTTATACTCGCATCACTATTTACAAACCCACACCGAGTTTTTCCTCTCATTTCAAGACGATGGCGAGGCAGGCTAACGTAGAGCGTCGCGTCGCCTTCTGGATCCACCACTGCTTCGCTGTAGACACAAACTTGTTTTGAGGGCAGTAGTGGCCCCCACCGATGTACCGTAGTTCATTTACAGTCCTTTATGAATCCAGTGGCGCCTATTGCGCTGTCTTGTCGCCCCGTGTCTCGCACTGTTTTTTGTTTTTAATGTGCTTTATATGTTTTGAAGTGTAAATTGGTGAAATAAATTGTGGGTGGTCTTCCCTGGTGACTCATGTGAGTTGTCGAGGGAATCGTCATCCGCACGGCGGGTTTGCCGGAATGAGTCACAAAGCAGCCCATTGCCGATGACAACCTTGTGGTTGGTTACTCGCGACAATTTTCTTCTTTCCCTCTGTCATTCATCTCTTCTTAATCGTTAATTGTTGTACTTTTTGGGGATGCGGATAAACTGGGATTTCTTAGCTGTCTTTTGTGTTTTCTTAGCTGATAAGTGTTGTAAACAAAATCTGGATTTCCATGTGAAAAATCGTGTAAATAAAGTGTTTAAATAGTACTTTTTGTGCGTTTTCTCTTCCTCGGCCCCTCTCGTCCCTCTTCTCGATCAAACTCAGGGCCTGAGCATGTTAGGCAAGAGAGATGCCACTCTCAGGTCGAGCGGTAAAGGAACGCCGAGATGTTGTTGTGGGGCCGCATCGCATCGTGCCTTCCGGCGGACGATAGGGCGAAAAGTCTTTGACGTCTCTCGTAACGAAAGGTGCGCATGAGGCCTGTTTTCAAAAACCCCGGTATGCCTACTGGAAGAGGTGGGCCATTGTGGTCGAGACTGCGAATGCACCGATTCAACCCTGCTCTTTTCGACAGGCAGGCTATCTTTACGGGTCCAGCCTTGTCGAGAACGTAAAGGGGTGGGTCTCTGAACCTGGGAGACCAGGCTTCGATCCCCCCACACACCCACGCAAGTCGCAGTCCCCAAATATAAGATGGTTGAGAACACCTAGCTGGCATAATTTTCTCCTTCTCACCTTTATTTCGTGGATCCACGACAGCAGTTCTCCTTTGCCCCAGCCTGGCTGTCCTGGCGTCCTTGCAACTGACATTCCCTCCGATTCCCGCCAAAAATCATTATTTCAGGCTTCGCCCGCGAGGGGCGCTGCCCGCGCCCCACCCCCACCATGCCCCACCACAAGCTGTCTGTTTTGTTTACAAGTGGACCAGTTCCTTCTGCTCTCCGGTCAAGTCCTTTGCAAGCTGTCTCATATTGCTGAAAGTCTTTGGCGTCATGGCGCTTTTTCGTTTTTAACATCTTTTTCGTCAGTTAACTATGTGTGGGATATTTTGTTCACTGTTGAGTGCCAACTCCTGTCAGGAAAATCGGTCTGACCATAATGCCCTGGTGAGGTTAAACATGTGGATATTTTGCTGTTTTCTTCTTGTGACAGCTATCAATTCAATCTATTAACCACAGATTTCGGTTTATTTATTCCATATTTACTACAGGAAGCGTGCTTATGCAACCTCAAGAGTCGAGGTCCAGATAGTTTTCAATCTATGACATGTGTGCTTCCATCAAGCCATTCGCTTCAATTTGCTGCTTCAGTTCTGCAAACACAGGGTAAACAGATTTGTTCGCAACCTTATGAAGAAGATGGAAATGTATTATGTTGGAATGGTGATGTTTTCAATGGCGAATATGTAAGTCTTATCGTCTTTCGTCATTCTGCCTCAAATCATTAAATTTTTAGCTTCACAACTGTTGTTATAGTTATTTTATTATTTTTTCAGGTCAATGAAATCCACAGCGATGGTCTAAGTGATACTCAAGTAATATCAAAGTACTTATCTGTTTGTTTGAAACAAGGTCAGCCCTTGTCAGATGTGTTTAACAAAATTGAAGGCCCCTATAGTTTTATTTTCTACGCCAAAGAGGAACAGATCATTTGGTTCGGGAGAGATCCAGCTGGCCGTCACAGCTTGCTATTTGAGGTTGCACAACAACCCCCTAAATTAATACTGACGTCAGTCGGTCATTCCAGTCTGTCAAATTTAAAAGAGGTTCCTGCTATTGGATTATTTGAAGTTGATCTGAATAATACTATAAACAAAGATGGTATGTGTATTTTAGCTCTGAAATTTGCTGCATTACTGAGGAGTAGATTTTTGTGTTCAAGCATTTATGTTCTTCCTTTCCAGAGCTGTGCATTTATCTTCATCCGTGGGAAGAATTAAAGGAAGACCATTTGAAAGATTACTGCCTAGTATTACCTCAAATTCAAATCAAGGCTCCTATTTGTGAACAATATATTTTCAAACCCTCATCAATAAGCCATTTAAAACTAGTTCATGATGCAGGACTGCTCCCCTCATTAAATAACATTCCTATAGAATTTCAAATGGAAGCTCTTTATAATTTAAAAAAATTTGAGCTTAATATGTTAAATGTATTAGCCTCGTTAGAAGCTGCTGTCAAAGTCCGTGTGAACACTAACATAAGACTTTGTCAAGTCTGTGTGGCAGATGTTAATACTCTTAACTCATGTTGTCACACGAAAGTTGCTGTTCTATTTTCTGGTGGTCTAGACTCAGCAATTTTAGCAAAACTTGTTGACAAACATGTGCCAGCAAATGAACCAATTGATCTATTAAATGTTGCATTTGAGAAGAAAGTTTCTTCAAATAATAAGCCTCATGGTAAAAAAAAACCTACTGATGAGGAATATGTTAACACGTTGTCCTTTGGAGATGACTTGTACAATGTCCCTGATCGTATAAGTGGCAGAAAAACCCTCAAGGAGCTACAAAATTTATGTCCAGAACGCAAGTGGAACTTTATTGAGGTATATGACAAAATTTAATCAAAAAATGTGTTATTGTTAGGTTTCATTATTCTTCAGGTTGTATTTGTGAAAGGAACATTTCACCTTTGTTTACTGTCTGCTTGCAGATAAATATTCCTATTGCTGAACTGCAAGAGGAACGGTCAAGTAGCATTGGACACCTGATTCATCCATTGAAAACTGTTTTAGACGATAGTTTAGGCTGTGCTTTATGGTTTGCTGCTCGAGGACAAGGAAAAATATATGAATCCAATGAAATCTATAGATCACCAGCAAGAGTAAGCCAGTCTTATATCTCTCAATATTTTGTTTATTTTTCTTTTTGTTTTTTCATCATGAAAAGAAACTTTGGATTTATTTTGTAGGTAGTTATAACAGGAATGGGTGCTGACGAACAGTTTGGAGGGTACATGCGTCATCGAACTACATTGAAGAATCATGGTTGGGAAGCTCTTGGTGCCCAGCTTCAAATGGAACTGGAAAGGATCCCATCACGAAATCTTGGACGGGATGATCGTGTGATTTCGCATCATGGGAGACAACCTCGGATGCCTTTCTTAGACGAAAATGTGATTCGTCTTGTGAAAGCTCTTCCACCGTGGGATAGGTACCTTTCTGTCTTTATTTCTGTTCCAGTTACCTAGTTGTTGTCAATTTCTTATTACCTCTTACCATTTCTGTGTTTTCTCTAGGTGCTGTCCTAATGATGCGTTGCCATGTGGTGTTGGAGATAAGTTACTCCTGAGACTTGTTGCCTGGCACATTGGACTTAAAGGAGCTGCAGTCTTCCCCAAAAGAGCCTTGCAGTTTGGTTCAAGAATTGCAAATAGCAAGGAAAATGCTGCGCACACATCAGACAGATTATAATATGAGGACTGCTGTTTGGTCCTCTTAAAGGGCCTCTTTGAGGGATTTGACTTTTATTTTTTAAATTAATAATGAGACTGTTTTCAAAATTAATGAATTTTTAATTAAAACAATCACTATAAGTGTACTGAAAACAGTTGTGTGTTCCGATATTTTGTCAATTTTCTTCAGCTCAAAGCATCAACTGTGTATTCATACACACCAAAGAAAACTACTCCTCCAATAGTGATCCAGGTTACTCTTGGTGTTACACCAGCAAACAACCTGTACAGAAAAAGACTGAAATTAACTCCTGAAGGGTCTTAGTCAGATTTAAATTGTATTAACCACTTGGTGAAATGATGCAAAACATTACTGCCATGGGTTTGGTATTTATGCACTTACCCTCGGATTCCTTCTCCTCTGTAGATTATTCCCAGTGTTTCTGCTACTGTTGGGATTTTATTAGACGACAGTCGAGGAATGTCAGGGGACTTGGTGAAAAGCATTATGCGTGTCTTTGCCACATCCAATGGGGTAGTAAGTGCAGCAGAAAAGCCACCTTTGAAATATTATAAAAGAGATCAAAATTAGTTTGAGATTAAATTTGAGGTCTCTTTTTTTATTTTGTGTCTTTGTTTTCTTTTTAAATTCAGACCTGCGATTGCTCCGCATACAGCACCCTCCCATGGTGCTGTTGGCCTCCCGCTCCTTTCTTGCCATTTAGTCTTCAGTATTTCCCAGAGAGGGAACTGGAGGCAGGAGAACGGAACCTCTCTCAATATTGTACTGCCTAGTCCTCGATAAAATCCTAGTATCCCTTCATCCTGCCACAGTTTTATGGTGAGTTGGGCAGCAGATTTTTTTGTGGCAGTTGCTTGTAATCTTTGCTTTACAATTTCTACAGGCACTCGGACGGAACATGCAACCTGGAAATGGTCAACTGTTGTAACAATACAGAGCTTTACATTAGGCAGTTTATGTAATATCAACTCTTACCACTTCTCCTGCTGATGCGCTTAATAGGTGAACAATTGGTTTGAAGTCTTTTCCAACTAAACATCCTAAGTTGTTTTTACAAGTATTGTAGGTGCAGAAAAAAAGGGAAGCTGTAAGAAAGCCATAGGATTAGGATTTCAAGCATTATATTAAGTTTTAAATGGGTGGGCTGACGAAGGATTTTAATTACCACAAGGTACTGAACCGGCGGCTGCTGGAACAATGCCTCGATAAACGTTTTTAAATCCTCCCGATTTCCAAAACCCTTGCTGACTTTGCAACCTGGTTTTTATTGTGTCTAGAGGGAAAAGTGACAGATCAACAGTAAGACCGGCAGCCCCACCAGCCTAGAAAAGATAAGTGTGGTCATTGAAATATGGGCGCTTATACACTAGAATGAAACGTGAAACATGTAATTAACTCAGAGTGTGGTACATACTATGATTGAAGTAGAAAATGGCGGTACTTTCTCCATGGTTTAGTGCGGTTCTCTGTCAATAGAAGTGGATCAAGTACAGTTTTAGAATTGTTTACTTCTATTTGACATGCTGTAGCAGAAAATTTCATGGGAAACCTAACCCCTCTTTGGACACGAATGGCAGTTTTCAGTCTTATAGAGAATAAGTCATGTGACCCAGTATCCTTTTACGTCAATTAAATGAAATTTCTTTGGGATGTTCTTAAACTAAATGAACGTTTCGTAGAAAGGAACAGAGCTTGATAAATTTTCAACTCTTCGGCACTGGTCTGGTTCTGGTTAGCTACGGCGCATTTCAACAAGGCGGTGGTCGTGGCGTCTGCTTGGCGTCTGCTAGGCGTCTGCTCTTGCCATCACCTCGTCTGTTTACTACGTTTCTTCAATCCAAACATTCCAAATTTGTTTCCTCTTGAAAGTATTGGGTAAAGTACTGCTCAGAAAAGTAGTGGAGCGTTTTAACGGACCCAAGTATAAGTGTGTTCTACCTCATAGAACATTGGACAAGGTGAGTCTCAGCAGAATGTTTGAATGAAAATGTCTTCTTCTCACATTTCAACTCCACTAAAAAATCTATCTTATTGTCTTTTTCCTCGCGATTTTTGGCTTCAACCTACCATGTGCGACTTGTTTAGTTTGTTCAAACATTGTTTAAAAACCTTTTCTGGTTCTGACCGTCCTTTGTTGTTGTTTTTGATTTTGCATATTTTATCCTGTATTTTACCAAATTTACCAAAGTATTTTACTTTGGTGTCTTGCAAAGTTTCGTGTCTCTAACATTGTTTTTTTTTTCGTTTTTTTTTTTTTCTCTCTTTTAGTCTAAAGTGTGATTTTATTGTTGTTTCAGAACCTCGGAGTCATTCTTTCCTCATGTGAGGCTTCTAACAAAGGGATCACCTCATACCGAGTTCAGCTTTATAAGGACACCATGGAAGTCCTTCCGAATTATCGTGGAGTGTTCTCTCTCTGTATCTAAATTAAACATTTTTTGAGAAATCAATAAAAAATGTTTTTTACGTGGGAAGAGATTGTTGTTTGGGTAGGAGTAACATTGTTCGAAGCATGGATTCATACTGTTTGCATGACTGTCTTTTTACTTTTCATGACACTGAAGTTGGATGGTATACTGGTCAGATCTTGGTGGGTGATATTTTCTCCACTTTTCGTCGGTAATGCTTTGAGTGCCTATTTCTGTGTGATAGGGTTCATAAGAATGTATCTTGAAGGGCTACGAAAGCATGCTGTTATCAGAACACTCTGGAGTTTGTCATTTATTCTCCTTATGACAATATTTGAGATTTTACTTATCAGGAAGTTGATGGGGCACAACAATCTAGAATATTCTGAAATATTGTCACCCGTGTTCATACTTCTGCAGCTGATTACAGCAAGGACGTGTCGTCTGTATGGATCTTGACTATATCTTTTATGTCTCTCATTTGTTTCATTTCTTCTTGTCCTTTTAATTCCAATCTTGATTGTTAGACTTGATGCCATCATAAGTAGATGACAGTAAATCTGTATGTGAGAGAGAAGTTAAGAGAAGACTGATTTTAAGTTATTTTTGACTTGTTTTCATCTGTGATTTTTTTGGCTGTTTTATTTTTATTATGTTATTTTTGTATTTTAGTTTGAGACTTCTTAAAATACATATTCAGGTTCATGTTCTGTTCATTTTTCCAAAGAGCTTATCTGTTTTATCTTCCAATCATTGTTTTTTACAGTTTGTATCTACCTTTGTAATATACTCCACAATATCAATAGGTACATTTTCCCCCCAAATGTAACAGTGTAGCATTGTGTACAATCAAAATAATTTATAAGGTAGAATTTGCCTGTCTGTCAGTCTTATGATACTATGTAATTTTCTGAAATTAGGGCTCATCTGGTGTTCTTAATAAAATGTTTTATACAGATACTTACTACATTAGAATTAATTTATTCCTATCACTCACATCAAGACCTCATGCGATGATATTATTGGATTGATAAAGTTTCCTCTCTCTCTTTTAATCAAATTTGCACAAGCACAAAATCTATTTTTCTCTAGAAATAATTCGATTTTTCACGAGAACGAAACGAAGGAACACCACACTCTAGACATAAAATTATTGTTCAAGATGACAAATTGCCGGCGAGCTACAGCCGCTCACTGTGCGTGTCACTGGCGTTGTCTTCGTCGGCGTTGTCGCTGTTGTCGTTGGACTCGGCGGCCCCGGCCCTCGTCGACTCGCTGAAGGCCCTCCGGCGGTGCGCGGCCGCGGACGTGTACAGCGGCGACGGCACAGAGGGTCCGCGGCGGCCAGGTAAGGGTGCGGGCGGCGCGGGGGTCCGGCTCGGCCGCCGAAGGGCTGACGGCGAGGGCGCCGCGCCGCTCTGGGAAGTCCGCGGGAACCGCATCCGGGCGGCGACAGCGGCGTCCTGCGGCCCGCTGGGGGGCACTGCCCCAGGCACTGCCCCGGGCACGTAGGCGGGGATGGTCGGCAAGTTGTACCTCAGCGCTTGGCGGCGCAGGGTCTCGCGCGGCGCGGGTGCGACTGGCGGCGCGGGCGGCGCGTCACTCACGTAGGAGATGGTGATCTGCGGGACCGTCGAGCTGATGGAGTAGACGTCGGCGTCGCCGCGGCCGTCCTCCAGGGCGCCGAGGCCGGCCGGCAGCGACGGCGGCTTCTCGTCGGCCTCCTTGTCCGCGCCACCGCCGCCACGGCCCATTACGCCAAGCGTGGGCCAGATGGAGAAGCGCCGCTTTTTGGTCACCTTGGCCGGGCCAAGGTCCCCGGCATCGCCGTCGGCGGGGTCCGGGTCCGTGCACGTCCCCGCGCCCAGGAAGGTCGACAGCCTCCTGGCCGTCGAGCCCCGTCTCCTGGCGGCCGTGGGGCTGGTCAGGGCGACGGGGCTGGGGGTTGGCGTGGGCTCCGCGCTCGACCCGAACGACGGCCAGAAGGACATGCGGCGCCGTCCGGTGGGGGTGGCCGGCGCGGGGCCGCCGTTGGCCGTGGTGCCGGGCGGCGGGGAGCTGGGCCGCAGCGAGAGGCGCCTCTTCTCCGGCTTGCCCGTGTCCAGCAGCCCGGGGAACACCTTGAAGATGGAGTTGGGCTGCGGCTCCTGCGGCTGGTGGGCGAGGCCGGCCGTGCCCAGCTTGCGCGTCTTGCCGTACGACGGCGTGGGAGGCGCCTGCGGCGGCACCGTGGCCTGGACGTCAGCCTGCTGCCGCTGCACCGACTGCAGCACGCGCAGGAACTCGGCCAGCGACGTGTTCTCCAAGGTGGACCGCAGCCGCCTGGAAAAGCCTTGCAAGGCGGCGGGTGGACAGCGCCCGTCCGGAAGGGTCTGTGGCTCGGGGGTGGACAGCAGCCGCGGCCGGAAGCGTTGCTGGCTCGGGGCCGTGGACAGCAGCCGAGGCCGGAAGCGTTGTGGCTCGGGGGTGGACAGCAGCCGAGGCCGGAAGCGTTGTGGCTCGGGGGTGGACAGCAGCCGAGGCCGGAAGCGACCTGACTCGGGGGTGGACGGCAGCCGAGGCCGGAAGCGTTGCGGTGTGGGCGTGGACAGCAGCCGAGGCCTAAAGCGTTGAGGCGCGGGTGCGGACAGAAGACGAGGCCGGAAGCGTTGGGGGGCGAAGGGGCGCGCCACCCCCGCGCAGGGCTCTGGCCGAGGCCGGGACTGGGGTTCAGGTTCCTCCAGCAGGACTGCAGGGGAAGCGAGAATGCAACACAGAGGCAAGCAAACGTACGACGCAGACGAGGCAAACCCTCCAAGCGCGGAAGCGGCACAGGTACAGGTACACGCCATCACAGCCATACTCACTGAAAATGCTGTCGCGGCGCCCGTGGCTGGGATCGAACCCGGGGCCGAGGAGCGACTCGCCCGCCGTGTGCGTGCGGTAGGGGTCGGGGAAGGGCCCGCCGAAGAAGAGCGGCGACACGCCGCTGGACGGGTCGTAGCTGGGGGAGCGCCGCCGCTGGTCCCGCTGGCCCAGGTAGGGGGCGTCGTCGCCGTACCCGTCGGCGTCCTGGTCGTCCTGGTCCGACGTGCCGCCGGGCTGCAGGGAGCGCCGCCGCCGCGCGAAGTCCTTGAGGCGCTGCGGGATGGCCAGGCGCTGCATCAGCCCGCCCACCGACGTCTTGGGCGCGGCCAGCCCCGAACCTGCAGCACCTGCGGACAGGACAGACCGCGTTGCGCCGCGTTCACCTCGACCGCCTGGCGGCTAGGCAGCCCCAGGGGCAGCCCAGCCCATCGCACTCACGCCCATGCCATTACCATTACGGGCTAGACACATGCCCGCCTGCACTGCGAAAAGAGACATGGCCGTCCTTACCCGTCTCCGCCGCGCCGGTGGACAGCGTCCTGGCCCTGCGCTTCTCCTTGCTGCGGGCCTCCTTGTCCAGGTGCCGCTGCTCCTCCAGCTCCTGCAGGCGGTGGAAGTCGTACAGCTCCTGCAGGCGCCGGTCCTGGCGCTGCTGCTTGCGGATCACGGCCTCGGAGCGCCGCCTGGCGAAGCACGCGGCGAAGCACATGGTCATTGCCACCATCGCGCACAGTGGGCCAGAAGACCGGTGGAGGTGGCCAAAACTCTAGACGCGTTTTGAGCTCCAGAGTCGCTGAATGGGACTCGAACCGAGCGAGTGACCCCACCAATGGATTCCTCGTTCGGAGAGCATCCATTGGTGGGGTCACACGTTCGGTTCGAGTCCTGCTTAGCGACTCTGGACCTCAAAACGCGTCTAGAATTTTGGCCGCCTCCCCCACTGTGAGGCGGGGCAAGCGCCGGGAACGCGGTAATGCAAGCTAACGCACGTGCAGTGCCTTCGTGCCTACACTCTAAAGGTGATCCCACCCGGTCGGTCGCAGTCGGAACACCACCAGTCAGCAAGAGCATCGCCCACCAAGAGAAGGACCTGGGATCGATTCCCCCAGGCGCTTGTTTATTTGCCTTCGTTGCCGCTTCCCGTACCAGAGTCTGAGTTTGGGCAAGCATGGACCGTGAGATTCGGTGGCTCAGGGCGCTGAGGTACCGGCCGCCGCGCCCCGATACTTGGGTTCAAATCCCGGCTGGGAATCGATTACATTTTTCACCGTCAGCGCTTTTTTACAGCAGCGTGTAAGATGGGTGGCCTACCCCTCACGGCGCGGCTCTGTAGGAGGAGGGGCCCGCTCTTCCAAACAATCGTGGCAGAGCAAACGCTAGACGTCTGCCTCTAGGTGCAAAAGTGTTCCTGCCGCCGCCGGATCCCACCGCCCAGCGTGTCGGATGGGTGGCCTACCTTGGTGGCGCGGCTCATGTATGGGGCTAGCTTTCCCTCCAGAATGCAAAAGAGTTCCCGCCGTCGGCTCCCACCGTCTGCGACCTATGTGAGATCACCCTAAGGCCTCCATTCATCCGTGACAGCGGTGTGATTGTTGTGCTGGCGTGGACGTGGTGGACGTGGTGGACGCTGCCCGCGGGACAGACCGCCGTGACCCCTCCCCCGCGCGTGCCACGTTTCGCTAGGGCGTCGCAGCCGTTGGGGGCTCCGCGGCAATGCACCACGCTAGTTTTGACCCAGAGGTGAGCAGGGGGAGCAGCAGAGAGCATAGGCCAAAACTTGGGTGGTGCGTGCCCCGGCGCCCTCCACGTCATCGACGTCCCTGCCGTCTTGGTGCGCTGTGCGAGTGCGTCTGTCTGGGCAGCACGGGGCCTACCTATCGACGCTCGGAAAAGACCAGAACGAGACCCAACCGGAGTCCGACGCGGCGACGCTCTCCTCGAGAGGCTCAAGGAAGGGTGGCGTCGCTCAGCGGGCAGGGATGCAGGGTGGTGGGGGTGGAGCGGGGATGCAATTTAATTACGGTGGGGTGGGTGGGGGTGGGTTGGCGTCGCCGCGGCGGCGGCCGGTTGGGCCCGTTCGTCATCTGTGAATCACGACGGTCGGCATTTCCATCGCTTGCCTCATCTGGTTGTTCCTCCTGCAACCGAAACCAGGAACCCTCCGAAAGGCGGTACCAGAGTCACGGAGACGCCAGCCGAGAGAGAAACGAAAGACGGACACGAGTACGACCCGTTTAATCGGCGGTGGCGGCCGCCGAGGCCGAGGCCCAGGCCCAGGCCGCGAACGCGGCGTACCTGTGCTGCCGCGCCCGGATCAGCTCGTGGACGCGCTTGGAGGCGCCGGTGCCGGACCACGTCCACTCGGCGTTGTTGGCGGCGCCGTCCTGGCCGGCCTCGTCCGCCGGCAGCGTCGCGCTGTCGTCGAGGTCGTCGTGGAGGCCGTGGACGCCGTGGCCGTAGCGCGCCTCGGCCAGGGCGTCGTTGGCCGCCGAGAAGGGCGCGAGGCTCTTGGCGCGCTGCCGGGCGCCGCGCCCGAGGCCCTGCTCCTTCCACTCGCTGCTCAGGATGTCGCTGTCCGCGAAGCCCTGGTAGCCGCCGTTCGGCAGCGCCGTGCCCGGTGTCTTGTGCTGGAACGAGTTTTGTTTCTCTTACACGTGGCGAGGCCCTCCGCGAGGCGAACATCCGAGCCCTCTCCATGTACGCGTCCGCTTGCGCGCTGCCGCGCACTCACCACCGTGTTGTAGCACTCGTCGTTGGAGACGGCGCCGCCCCAGTTGACGAGGGCGTTCATGAACTCGTGCAGCAGCTCGGCGGGGTCCAGGCCGGCCTCGGGCACGGTGGCGTCCGCGAAGGTGGCGCGCCGGTCGATCCTGCCGAGCTCGGTCTCGGAGCGGCGGCGCACCAGCAGGCGCCCGGGCAGCACCTCGGACAGGGCGCGCGGCCGGCCCGCCGCCACCCTGGAGGCGCGGCGGTACCCGGCGCCGGGCAGCCCCACCACCACGGGGTACGGGCTGGTGCTCTTGTAGGCCTCGTCCAGCCAGAACAGGTCGGGGCACGACGACCACCGGGCGAATGGCTGCTCCGCCAGGTCGCTGAAGTCGTCGTCGTGGTACACCGGCTGCGGGGGCACACAGAGTGGGGTGAGGCTCGCGACGGCGGGGCGCTGCTGGAGTCCCACAGTGGACACGGCCTACCTTGACCTTGAGCAGGTACAGCTCGTTGAGCACGCGGCGCAGCAGGTGTGGCATCTCGTGCACCATGCCGTGCCACAGCTTGGTCTGCGTGTGCTTGATGCCCTGGGACAGCTTGGCCATCCTCTTGGACCTCATGGCGTCCGTGATGAAGCTCAGCACCATGAAGAGGTAGCCCAGGCCGAACAGCAGCCACAGGATGAGGAACACCTTGTACACGATGTACTCGGGCTTGTGGTTCACCTTCTGGCCTGCAACGCACCGCGCACCGCGTCACACTTTGTCATTGCTCATTTCTCGCACCGGCACGGCGCGGCACGGCGCGGCGCGTCGACGGTCTTGGCACGCACCCGCCACGAAGTCGCCGAAGCCGATGGTGGTGAGGCTGACGAAGGCGTAGTACAGGGACTCGTCGAAGGTCCACCTCTCGAAGTACATGAAGATGAAGGACGGGCACAGCATGAACACGAAGAGCCCCAAGCTGCAGTACAGCATGATGCTCCCCGCCAAGCTCATGCCGTTGTGCTGGTGCATCTTGTACTTGTCCCGAGCGCGCAGGAACTGACCCACAGAGAGAACCGGAAGTGACAACCGAATGCGGAAATGTCCGTGACGTCACGCGATGTGGGGGAAGTACTCACGAAGTGCGCGAAGTAGTCGGCCAGGCTCTTGAGCAGGATGCCGTTCATCGGGATGCCCACGAGCGCGTAGAAAATCATCAGGATCCGGGATAAGGGGGTCGTGGGCGCCAAGTTTCCATATCCTTGGGGACACAGCGCGGACGATTAACAAACCCTTCTTCGCAAAATCTTCCAAACGTACACAGGTCCACTTTTCCTTATCACAAACCAAGGTCCTGCTCTAACGACGTCGCACTTCGGCTTACCTCATCACATCCTTTCGAGAAAGGGGCAGCGAAAATACAAGAGCAGTTTCCGTTAGAATCTTACAATTGCTAGGCAGCTACGGGTAAATGGCCAGTAAGTCAAATGGTGTGTGTTACCTATGGTGCTAACCACTGTTATGACGAAGAACACCGCGTTGTAGAAGTGCCACTTGAAGGGGTCCGCCCTGTCCGGGTCGATGTTGAAGCTCTTCCCGCAGTACTGCTCGAGCTTCGGGATGAGGTCATTCATCGTCTCGCTGTCGTTGATGCTGTCGTTGAGGATCTCTACGAAGAACAGACAGAAAGGAAACTCGTTGCAAGTGGAGCAATCTTTTGGGGGTCGCGCGGCGTGCGGCGCGTGACCTGGGGCATCGCGAGTCGAGCCAAGTCCGCGCCGCGCAGCCAGGCGCTGCCCTGCACCGTCACCTTGCATGTGTCATCGCGCACGTGCCGTCGTCGTCGCGCACCTGCCGCGGCCGGCAACCTCCACTGCCAATTTCGCAACGGCAGCCGACGGAAAAGCCATTCAAGTTCCTCCCGTCCAGCGTCCAGCTCGTCCGGTGAGGTCGCGGGGCGAGTCGCGAGCAAACAAATAATCCCCGGCGCGGCGGCGTGCAGCTGCAGCAGCCTGATTCCGAGAGAAGTTTTCATCGCTGTCTCTCTCGCACTCATGGGGCGTCCCCTATGGGTGCAAGAGAGACAGAGCGACAACAACGGCTCTCGGAATCAGGCTTTGCTGCAGGCGGCGAGGCCGCCGGGGCAGTGAGTCAGGCTCGGCCTGCACTACATGACCTCCCCCAAGACGCCAAGGCACTGCAATGCACTGCAGCGCACCGAGCCCTGTCCGCCGAGCTAGGCAACTTATTAGGTGTGTCACAGTGTCGGCGACAGCCCCAAGGCCCGCAGCCCGCACTCGCGCAGCACATCATGCCGCTTCTTGGAGCCGGTCCACGGCCTGCATGTTGGGCCCATAACTTCGGGTCTGGCGCGGTCTGGCGCGGTCTGGCACGCGGCGGCCGGAAAAGACTGTCCGCCAAGCGAGCTCGCCGATGGAGACATCGCGGCGAGACGAACGGCTCCATTCCGTCGCTCTGTCTCTCTCGCACCCCTCCGCAACTCGACATGAGTGTGAGAGAGACAGAGCGTCGAGGGCAGCACTCGGAATGGAGATGCTGCTGGAAGCGCGAGTGACGCGAGCAAGTAGGCAATCGGCGCACATTCCCGCACGCACACTGCAGGGGCTGCAGGCCTGTTGACACGGTTGCCTATCTCAGCCTTGACTCTCGGCCTGGCTGGCCGAGCCAGAAAAGGCAACAGACCCACCCCCGGCGGACACGCCCTTGCTTCGCGTCCTGGCTGCTGGAGGAGGAGCGCGTTCAAGTCTCCTGTAGACTGATGATTTCGAGAGTCGCTTTCGTCACGCTGTCTCCCTTGCACTCACGGGGTGTCCCGGCGCGAGAGAGACAGAACGACAGAACAACGAAACTAACTCTCGCGCCGCCGTGCAGCCGGCACCCCCATTTACGGGTCACGTGGCCACACCCACCCACGGTCCGCGCGGCCCGTGCCATGAGCTCCAGCACGGCTCCAGGACGCGGCCAGCAGACTGATTCCGAGAGTCGTCGCTCTGTCTCTCTCGCACCTGCACTGTACGCTCCACGAGTGCGAGAGAGACGGAGCGACGAAATCGACTCTCGGAATGAGTCTGCAGACGCCGCGGTGCGGGCGCACGGGGGCGCCGACCTTCCCCAACGTCTGTCTGGCGCGGCCGCACTTCGTTCCGCGGGCCGCACCGGGGCGCCGCGGCGTGGCGGCGCGGCGTGGCCAGGCCCGTTAGCGGCCAGCCCGTCCAGCCACGCGTCCAGCCGCGGGGCTGGGCCGCCAGACTCCGGTTTGAGGATGACGTCACCGCCGACGGCGCCGACGGCCCGACAGGTTCATTCAGCGGGTCACGCGGTGCGCGACCGGCCGCTCAATGGGCAACGCCGTGTTTCTGAAGATCAGTTGGCCGCTCTGTCTCTCTCGCACCCTTACGGAGGGCCCCACGAGTGCGACAGAGACAGAGCGACGAAAGCACTCTGGCGGTGGAGCACGTACTGTAGATGAGCTCCTCGTCGTGGCGGTCCTGCGCGTGCTGCGCGATCTCCTTGGCCTGCTCGATGTAGTGGAAGACGGCCGCGCCCAGCAAGAGGTAGCAGGCGAACAGCAGCAGCAGCACCAGGAACTGCTTGCCCGACATGGTGGCGGTGGTAGCGGCTGCGGCGCCGGCAGCGGGGGCGGAAGCACAGGCGCTGGGGCAGGCGGGGCAGGCCGCGAGGCAGGCGGCGGGGCTGCAAACAGGGCAGCAGTGCAGTCAGGTCATTCCCTGCCGACAAGAACATTCTGCGCAATCCTATTGGAGCTCACATTGGCTGGGGTGGCCGAGAGATGAGATGCGTCCTGCCCCTTCATCAGGGTCCGGCGATCGACTACACTTTGAGCCCTTTCCCTGGCTGGCCCATGACCCGCATTATTTACACGTATTGCGTAGGGCAACTCTGACAGAGGGCGTCCGGGATTAGGCGGCCAACACGACGACGACGGCGTCCTTCGCTAATCCACGTCGCCAAAGTCATCCGCCCTCTCCAAATCATCTTGGCGGCGAGATAGGACCCCTGTGCTTCCTCGTCCGACTGGCCCGGCCCGGCCCGAAGGCCCGAAGGCCCGAAACTCGTAAGGATTTTACGGCGCCGCGACGACGGGGTGCCGCCCTTGAGGAGGCTCCGGGCGCGCCGGGGACTCCGCCGTCGAGGAAACGAGTCCAGGACGCGGACGACTCCGCGCGAGACTTGTGGCAGGGACTCAACGGAACGCTGCTGCTCCTCCCCTCCGCCATTTCTCGTTCTCGCCCGGGCAATCCTTCATCGGCGGCGCTGTGGTGCTAATTAACTTCCTGTGGCCCAGAGGGGGGGGGGGGGGGTCACCTGAGAGGGCGGCGGGCCGAAAGCAGACAAGCCGCAGCGCGCCGACCGCAGCCACTGTGCGCTTGACGCGCTTGACGCGCTTCACGGCGCGGCCCGCGGTAACGTCGCGCAGGACATGTTTGTGGGCGGCGTGGCGGCGTGGCGGCCGCGTGCCCGTCGTGACGGCACACTGTCATTCGCTTTTCGGACAGAGATTCAAACCGGGAACCTTGCGCTCCGCGAGCGGGGGCGTTACCCCCGGAGCCACGGCGTTGGCGACGCTGCACGCGTACGCGACAGATCTCCTTTCCCGTCCGCCTCCCGGACAACACCGGACACGCGGTGGCGGCGTGGCGGCCAACCGGCCGGCGTGCCCTTTGAGGCAGGAATGCAACGCGCAGTGTCCACCACACTCGGCACTCTCGGCGCGGCGGCCGTGGCACGGACGCGGACGAGGCTTCGGACGAGGCTGAGCGGAATAAACAGACTCGTTCAAAACGCGGCGCGCGTTCCGTCCACGCGAAAATCAGCGTCGGACGTTGTTCGCTGTCATCGACGCGGGGCTTTCGATATGCAGGCTTCCCCTTTGCCGGCGCGCGGGCCAAGGCAGCCAAGGGCGACGGAGCGACAGTGCGGTGGGGAGCGCGGCGAGCAGTGGGCTAGAAGACCGGTAGAGGCGGCCCACCCGGAGCTCCAGAGTCGCTAAATGGGGTTCCAACCGGGGTCATGATCCCATCAATGGATTGCTCCCATAACGAGGAATCCATTGGTGGGGTCACATGCTCGGTTTCGAGTCCTGGTTAGCCTCTCTGAAGCTCAAAACGCGTCTAGAGTTTTGGCCGCCGGCGCCGGTCTTCTGGCCCACTGTGCGACATCGACTCCGCGAGGCGGCGTGCGCGGCCCGCGCCGTCCGCGGCGCCTGAACGTGACCAAGCTCCTCGTGCCGCTGGCCGGGCGGCCGGCCGCGCGCCGCGTTGCGCGTTGCGCCGTGTTGTGTGTTGAAAGCGCGCCACCGGCCGGCGCGGCGCGCGGCTTACTTGATAAGGCCAAAGACGCGCTCCTGTGCAGTTTGTAATCGGTCCGCACGCGGATTAATCCAGTAAATCCGACCAAGGTCGTGGCGCCATGGGGCAGCGGCCCACGCGAGCTACGTCAACGCGTCCAAGAAATGATGAAAATAATAAAAATAAAAATGCCTTTCCAGGTTCGTTTTAAAGTACCGAAGGTATCACCGCTGGTGGTTTAGTACCCGCGCCCTTCGCCCCAGCACGCGACGCCACTACAAGTGCGGCCACTCGAATTTCTCACGCTGAGTGGCCGACGTCGATGTCGGCGTCGAAGCCAGCCATAGCCCATCTAATGGCGGTCGCCTCTCCCGCGCCACGCCGCCACGCCCGCGCGATGTGCTTTTGCTGTTTCCCCACAAACGCCGCGAGCGTGGCGGCGCGGCGGCGTGGTCACTCTGGGCGTGGCGGCATGTCCCCCGGCACCGGGCCGGCCCTGGCGGCGTGGGCGTCACCGCCACAGTGCCGCCACACCGAGCCACACGGTGCCCTACAGCGCCAATGAGTGACCCTGACAGGGAGGCGGCAAAAAGGCGCCGGCCGACGGGACAGGCCTCGCCAGCAGACTCACTCCGAGAGACGTTGTCGTCGCTCTGTCTCTCTCGCACTCATGGTGCTTCGCGTTTAAGTGCGAGAGAGACAGAGCGACGAAAACGACTCTCGGAATGAGTCGGCAGGCCCCGCGATCGGGCTTCGGGCTTCAGGCGGACACCGATGCCGATTAGGCGCGCGTCCCGTCCACAAACCCGTCGCGCCTCGCACATACACCGAGGGTCGCCGGTTCGCGCGAACCCACCGACCACGCTCCCACACACTGTTTAATTTAAGGGGGGACTGCGCACGTGAAGACACTCCAAAGCCAACACAAAAACACTCACGCTCACTTGAAGAGTCAGATTGGAGCCTCGTGTCCTGCACCTGCAGGAACATTCGCCCACCCTGCACCCGCCCCCACCCCCTCCCCCGGGTCCGGGGACTGCAATGCGGGCGCCGCAACGAAGTGAAGGGCGTCGCCGCCTTGCTGACGCGCGGACGTTCTGGGTGCGCCGCGCGCCGCCCCATGCAGTCTGAGGCATTCCGATAAAGAATCCATTAGCAGTGTGCCGCCACGCCCGCAGAGGGCGGCGCACCCCGAAACAACAACATCAGGACCCCGTCGGTCCTCCAGTAAACTGATTCCGAGAATCAGGCGCTCTGTCCCTCTCGCACCCAGACGAGACGCCCTATGAGTGCGACAGAGACAGAGTGACGAAAACGCCTCTCGGAATCAGTCTGCAGGGCACGCGCGACGAGCCCGACGGCCGTCCTAGTCCTAGTCCTGGTCCTAGACCACGCCGTCGTCGGCGACGCTCCTTACGACGCCAAGGGCAAAGGGCGTCGGACGCCAATGGGCCTAACTGGGTTACGGTACGGCCTACGGACGGCGGGAGCGGGACGAGGTGCTTACTAGATCGAACCGCCCTCCACATCCGCGGCCTCTCCGAGAAAGCGAGCGAGGAAAAACCATTCACGAACGCAGTACGTAACAAATTTTCGCTGTCGCGACAAAGATGCATTCATTTTCTTACTTCTAGCCCGGTAGTCCGAGAGTACCGATTCGCTTAGTTCCCTCCATTGTTTTGCCTGACGGCGCGCGTCCGCGCAGTGTGCCGGTGGCGGCGTCGGCGGCGTCGGGGGCTACTCACCGACTCGGAGGGTCCGGAGGGGCAGCGCGACGTGCTGCTCAGCGACCCGCAGCGGCAACCGGCACCGAGCGCCCCCAGCAGCCCGTCGTCGTCGTCCTGGTGGAGGTCAACGTGGACGTCCCGCAGGCAGTCGAGATGGACGCGCGACGAGGCCGCCATGTCTCCCCATTCCAGTACAGGGTGTCTGCGGCAGAACCACCACACCGTGAACCAACACCGCGCTGCGACACTGCCTGCATCGCGCAGTGGGCCAGAGGACCGGTGGAGGCGGACAAAACCCCAGACGCATTTTGAGCTTCAGAGTCGCTAAATGGGACTCGAATCAAGCGTGTGACCCCACCAATGGATTGGTCTTCTAACGAGGAATCCATTGATGGAGCCACACGTTTGGTTCAAGTCCTGGTAAGCGACTTTGGAGCTCAAAACGCGTCTAGAGTTTTAGGCGCGTTCACCGATCTTTTGGTGCACTGTGCATCTCCCGCCAGCCAGGGGGACTTCCCCGAACCTGTTGAACGCCGAACACCGGATTCTTTGTCTGTGACGCCACTGGAAACACCCTTGATTAGGCCCTTGATTAGGCCCTTGATTAGGCTCTTGATTAGCAGCTGATTGATATACAACGGGAATAATGTTCGATAAGATTCCATCAGCAAACACCTGTAAAATCAATGTTAAGTCGTTGAGGGCACTTCTAGGAAAAAAGATAACGGCCCACAATCTCACGCGACGCCTACGCGCACTGTCAGCGCATCCAGCCACTTACAACTTTTCCATGTCATTTTCCTCAACAAAATGTTTTTACTTTTTAACATTTTTTTTTAAACATGTTTTTGTACGTGGTAATGAAGAAGGCCCGCCGACGATACTTCGGGGACACGGTATGGCCAGTGTATGGCTCCCGTGTGACCTGGCCGGCTGGCGGGGCACGCGGGGCCAACAGGCTGATTCCGAAAGTCGTTTTCGTCGCTCCGTCTCTCTCGCACTCCTGGGACGTCCCGTACAGGTGCGAGAGAGACAGAGCGACGAAAACGACTCTCGGAATCCGCCTGCTGGCCATACGGGCCCTCGCCGTGACTGCACATGTACCGGGCCGGCCATAATGGCTTCCACACGGCCTGCTGCCCGGCCTGCCGGCCCGGCCGTGGTCACCAACAATTACGCCCGTGTTTTGTCTCGGCCGGCGTCTCACCTGTCACACCCGTCCCGCCTGTCGCAGGCCCTCACGTATGTGTAACATCTAGCACGGCCACGTGGTGCACACGGCGCGCACGGCCACGAGGAGCATCACCCGACCGGCCCAAGAGTCCGGCTTAGTACACCTCGTCCACGAGTACGCGAGTCACTCGCTCGCAGCATGTCGGCCCTTCGCTCTTTTGCGCTGCATCACGGCGCTTACCTTGGAGCCGAGCACGTCGCCGCCGCTGCTGGCGTTGCTGGCGGACTTGCTGCAGGGCGGCGTGGTGGTTGGCCGCCCTACCGGGCTCCAGGAACCTCCAGGAACCTCCAGGTCGGGCGACTGCCCCGGACGACGGACGTCGAGTCTCGCTGTCACCGCGGCAACTCCTCCGGCCGGGCAGTGGGTGGCGCGTGCCTTCTTTCAGGGGCACGACGACGTTCTCCAGTGCAGGCTCCAGCAGGGCGGGCGGTGGGTCGAGCGGGCGGCGGGCCGAGACGAAGGGACGCGCGATGCACACAGTGTCTGTCCCCCGCGACGCGCGGCGCGCCAAAAAGCAGCGTCAACTGACCGCCGGTCGCAGGAGTACCAACACGCCGACACCTCGCCCCGCCCCGCCCCGCCCCGCCCCGCGACGCGCCGCCGGGGCGTACCGCTTGATGCAGGACGGCGGGGCCGGCGGGGGCCGCACTATCGGGAAGCACGCGGCCGCCGCCTCTATCTATCCAAAGGAAGGCGTCTTCGACGTCGGCGTCGTCGGCGTCTTCGCGCGGCGCGGCCACCGCCAATCTTCCTCCCCATGCCGCGGCCGCCGCGACGACGCACTCCTCGGCCTGGAACAAGATCGACGAAACAGAATGGCGTCCAAAGGGACTGCGGCACGACAGGGTGGCACTCGCAGCAGGAAGGGCGGTATTTTGAACCGACGGCGGCCTCGAGGAAGTAAATGCTTTCACTTATCGACTTATCGACTACGCCGTAAAAGGTAATCCGCCGACCCGCTCAGAGACGGCGTGGCGCGGGAACCTTCCCGAGAAGGGCGATTCGCGCGTGCGTAAATTGTTGCA